TGTCTGTCTGTGTCTGTCTGTCTGTCTGTCTGTCTGTCTGTCTGTCTGTATCTGTCTGTCTGTCTGTATTTGTCCGTCGTGTGTCTGTCTGTGTCTATCTGTCTGTCTGTCTGTATGTGTCTGCCTGTGTCTGCCTGTGTCTGTCTGTATCTGTCTGTCTGTGTCTGCCTGTCTGTCTGTCGTTCTATCTATCTGTCTATCTATCCATCTGTCTGTCTGTATCTGTCTGTCTGTCATTCTATCTATCTATCTATCTATCTATCTTCTGTCTGTCTGTCTGTCTGTCTGTCTGTCTGTCTGTCTGTCTGTCTGTCTGTCTGTCTGTCTGTCTGTCTGTCTGTCTGTCTGTCTGTCTATCTGTCTATCTGTCTATCTGTCTGTCTGTCTGTCTGTCTGTCTGTCTGTCTGTCTGTCTGTCTGTAGCTATGCATAGATTTAGACATTTGTCACACTGCAGGACAATCTAAGCAGACTGCAAATAATATAATATATAACAATCTGATTATATTTGTGTATATTAATATTTAAATGTATACATGCCAGCATTCAAAAGTTTGTAGTTGGTAAGATTTTGTTAATGTTTTTGAAATAGTCTCTTATGCTCACCAAAGCTGAATTTATTTGGTTAAAAAATTCAGTGAAATCAGTTAAATTGTGAAATATTATTACAATTTAAAATAACTGTTTTCTCTGCGAATGTATTGTAAAATGTGATCTATTCCAGTGATCAAAGCTGAATTTTCAGCATCATTACTGCAGTCTTCAGTGTCACATGATCCTTCAGAAATCATTCTAATATGCTGATTTGCTGCTCAAGAAACATTTCTGATTATTATCAATGTTGAAAACAGTTGTGCCGCTTCATTATTATTATTTTTTTTGGAAACTGTGATGCATTTTACTTTTCAGGATTCTTTGCTGAATAGAAAGTTCAAAAGAACAGCATTTATTTGAAATATAAATCTTTTGTAACATTCTAAATGCCTTTACTGTCACTTTTGATCAATTTAATGCAGCCTTCCTAAATAAAAGTATGAAGTCCCCAAATCTTTTGGCTTCAAAAGAGCAACAGTTATCTATGATATCAGCTCTTTAATTTTTAATGTGACTGTTCTTGCAGATATCGATGAGTGTGCCAGTGAATATAATGGAGGATGCGTTCACGAGTGCATCAACATCCCCGGAAACTACAGATGCACGTGCTACGACGGCTTTCGCTTGGCCCACGACGGACACAACTGCCTGGGTAAGCCATCGCTGCTTTACGTTTGGGACAAACAAATAAAGTGTGTGTGATGATCTGCGTCCTCTCAGGACTTCATCCCACTCTAGACAAACAAACATTATTGCTGGAACCCAACTTCTAACGGTTGATACTCAGGCGTGTCTAATCAAACTCCACACCGACCGCGACTGAGGCCCAGAACGCGTCACTCTATCCTCCGTGTCAAAACCAAGCGGTTTGTGTGGTTAGCCGATAGAAGAGGGCGATAAATCCGTCAGATTTGGGCTGTGACTGCTGAGCACACGGTTCTGTGGTATTAATTGTATTTTCAGACCGCGTGAGCTCACGTTTTTGACATTCGGTGGTTCGTATGCCCAGCCGTTGCAGGTCAGTTGAATCAATCTGAGGGGAATGTGTGTGTTTGTGTGGGAGATTTACATCGGGTTACAGTCTTATACTGACCTCGGCGCTTTAACTCAAAACAGATGTCCAGCACGTCGAACTATCAGTCCAATGAAGATGTGAAATAGCTGCTTTGCTGTGATCAGTGGTTTTTCACTCAGTGTTTGTGTGGGTTATGTGGGTTTTACTCGTGCAGAACACTGCTATTTCAGACCTTCATAGACATTTAAAGGTCCCTTCTGCCAGTTTTTGAAACACATTTTCGAATATTGAGGTTTTCTCTGGCAGAGCTCGAAGCAATCTGATTGTTATCCGAATGACAGTTGAATTCGAGAACTGACTCCCATTTTGCCCTTTTTTTATTATCAAAACGCAAAATTAATGATGCAATTATTTATGTTGTCACACAATGTGAACATTTAAAATGGTATAATATAGTTTAGAATTTTTTTAATCTTTTTATTTTATTTTTGGAAATAAATTGGTATGATATGTTTTATACTGTTTGGACAACTTTCTCCAAACTTTATCAATAAACAATATCACCACGTTTTCAGATTTCAAGTTTTTTTTGTTTTTTACTTTATAAAAATAAATATTAAATTCATATTTGAGACAAATATTAAATATGCTAAAGAAAAATTTGGGATAATTTAGATCATTAAGGCTAATTAAAATTACTATTCAATGAATTTTACATTTAATTACATATATAAATGAACTTCAAATGAGCTAAAAGTAAGAAACAGTGACCTTTAAATATTTTTTTTAAAATATTATTTAAAATTATAAATAAAATAATGGAATGTGAGTTATTGTATTAAAATACCATATAATATTATTAAATAGTTGTTGTTATTATATTATTATTA